CTGGGAGCGTGCATTACATCCCGGTAATCGCGCTATAAATTCGCGGCACGAGCGGCCACGTATTTTATGCAACAATGAGCTCCGGCGCCGAGATGGGATTAATTTAAAGCATTGATACAGCCGTGAATAACAAGGAAGGCGATAAAAGGAGGCAAGTAGATGGCGTTGATCGGTTGCAACGAGTCAAATCGAACGTTCCAAAAGCGAAATTTTTTTCATTAATGACCGAATTTTATGGTAAGGGAAAAAAGGGAATTTCTCTTCGTTTATCTCTTCGTTTATTTTGAATTTGGATGATGCTTTTGTTTTTGCTTCCTTTTTTTTCTATCCCTTCCTTCTTTTTTTTTTTAATTGCGTCAATTTAGGTGTTGGGAATTGTAATTTTTTTTTTATTATTTATGGGATTTGTTGTTGGTTTTGTTTGGATAATAGTACAATTCCTGATCGAAAGATTAAGATTGTTTATATCTTTCGATATTTTTCGATGTTTTTAATAAAATTTAATCAATCTGAATGATATTTATTAATAATTTCTATTTTAATGTACACATATGATAATTTATCCAGAATGTTTTTCTTTAAATTCAATTAATATGATAATTATGCACGTACAAATATTTTAAGTAAATTCTACATACTCTCAATTGGATTTATATTTGAAGAATTGGGAATGTAATAAAAAATAATAAGATATTATTTGTTACATGAATTATTAATATGTATATGTAGAATACATCAATAATTAATCAAATTTGCAATTAAATTTCAGTCAACCCTTTAAATTTTATTAAAAACATCAAAATATTTTCAATATTTGATAATTCACAGATCAATTTATATACGTTATTTTAATCAGACGAAATAAAAAAGCCAATAAAATTCTTATTTTCTAGAAATCACATTGAAATATCAAGGTAAGAGTATGATAATCAAAAATTGTTCTCTTTGGCTCTTAACCTTACTTCAAGGAAAAATTTTCGAGAATTTCCTCTTTTCTTTCCTCGAATTTCTGAAACGTATTGATTCTTATGACACAAAGGATTCGGTATAAAATTCTACTTCACTTTTATTTCATCGTTCTTTTTACTTTTTATTTTATTGTATATTACAGATTTGAGGAAAACACGTCTTTGAATCTCGATGAAATATTTTGCCCTTCGAGAAAGAGAATTTTTTACCTTGTTCAAGAGAAATGCTCCTCACCCATTTTATTAGGCTCAGAAGGTATTCCGTTTTATTTAAATCCAGAAAAAAATTTATTAATCGCTGAGGAAGATACTATTCTGAATAATCGATGAATCAATACATTCTCGAGTATTGTTTAGATTAAATGGCCATTTGTAATGTTACTTCGTGCCATCGTAAGTTGAAAGAAATACTTGTTCGAAAGTTAAGAGCACGTTTAAATGCATGAGCTTTCGAACGAGATTTGGAACGAGGTTTTTACTATCAAAATGGTTGAAATACACGCGATCCTAAAGTTTGAAACGAATACACGATTGTTTAACAATTTCCTCTGAAGATAATGGTATGAAGAAGAAACTGGATGAAGAAGATAGAAAGGTATAATATTGAAGGAAGAAAAGTTTCTTCTTTAAAATTACTTGATACATGTAATTATGTGTATTTCACTTCGTTATATGAAAAGGATTTTAATGTGAAAATTGTAATCGTATTAAGTGAGTCTATAAAGACCATTTTCTTCCAAAGTGATTCCATTCTAAAAATAACTGAAAATATTTAATCGTAATAAATAAAATTATATAATAAATAAATTAATATTAACGAAACAAGATGATATATGCTTATTTTCTAAATTCAAATAAAAATAAAGTATAAAATATCAAATATAATCATACTTAATAATACTCAGAAAATAAAAATTGTTCTGCAATCTCCTCTTATTTAATACAAATATATATTTTTATCATATGAAATTCAAAATAAAAACATCCAACAGAAGAGTATATTTGAAAATAAAATCTTAATTTAATTCTCCTAAAATAATATAAATAAAACAAATAAGAGAGACTTAAAAAAGAAAAATATTTAATTGTAAATATGTATTTAAGAAATTTTCCAAATGAATGACAAGTTTCTGAAAACCCATTTCATGAATATTTGAATATCCCAACAGAAATAGTTGAATAAACAAATTAATTTATATTCCAAATAAAACTTCCAGTTATACAAATATTAAAACTATAATCTTTATACATACGCAATGAAATTAAAACACTACATTGTTTAAAACATATTTTAATCAACACGATACATTTTCTCACCCCCTAACAAATCATCCTTCCTCAACCTCGCAATTTCAATTCAGATCGATTACATCAGAAAAATTCGACAATCCATCCACTTCCTGCAACTAATTTATTCATACGATCCAGATTTCAACCTCGAGCGAGTTAGAATCCAGCTCTTCATACCCTCCATACCGTCCATAATACAAACTACACCGCTAATTTCGCAAATCCTCCCTCCAACGTGGGAAAAAATCCGCCCTCCTGGGAGTAAAAATTCGAGGCTTATTCAAATGTATTATAATGAGAGGAGTCGGAGGTTTGAATTCATTGGCGGCCACCCTTTTTCGGGATGGAAACAAACGTCCAACAAAGTGGCGGCCGTTCGATTCATGAACGTCTGACAGCTAAGTGCATCCTGAGCCACGGAGTTTTACTTCGCATAGTAAATCGCAATTAAAGTAAATCCCGCTCGTCCCCTGAGAAACATGAAATTTCGCTCACGACGATTTTAAATTTCCCCGGACGTGATCCCGCATTCCTCGTGGGAGGATTTTTCGTGGGAGAAGGGGAGGAGGGGAGAAAAAGTGCGTGCTTCCCTCGAGCGATTCAAACGATTCGTTTTCAAGTGTCGAGGTGGAGGTTTCAAGATCGTTCTATCCAAATTTATTTCGATAATTGATGGATATATGATATATTATTAGGGCAATTGATAATTTTATTATGCAAAAGATGATGATTGACGTGAATTATGATAGGATCCTTTTGTATGAAATTCGAATTACTGATTTTTCCAAAGTAGATTAATATTTTTTTGTAGGAAATATCTAAATCAATATATTTAAAATGTATATACAGTTCTGTTTTAAGAAATGCAATTGAAATTCATCTTTATCTCTATTATTGGATCTACAAAAAAATTGTGTTTCTCTTTGATCTAACTTGAACGTTAAGATATTACTTTCAATTGAATGATATCTGTATATTAAAATTTATATCCTAAAAATTATTATTTAAAAACACTGAATGGAAAAGGACAAAATCGTATTAATTTTAAATTTCTTCTTATTCTTCTATCAATTTGTATATAATAATGTCTTTAAAATCTTTTTAGATCTAAATTGAATTAAGAAAGCATAAACAATCTTGTTCAATTTAAAAAAGAAAATAACAACTGCACGGATCGATTATTTCCAATACCCCTCGCAAAACACTTTTATATTCTTCAGACATCAAACTCTTTATCTTTCCTTGATACGCTTCCTAAAATTTTACTCTGAATTTTATCGTTGCACGATAGAACGCTTGTGATATTTTATCGCTCCACAATGAACGAAACACCTTATGCTTCACCTAGTTAATAGCGTGCGCGGCAAAAGTCAAAGTTCACTCGGGATATCGCGTAGAACGAAATCATTGCGGACGTGGTTAAACGATTACAGGTAAAACGAAACCCATTTTGTCAAATGTTTCGCGATACTTGATTCATTCTGTGCACGATGTTTACAATTTAAGTTTCTATTAATTAAAGTTTGAACAATCATTAAAATGCTAATAAAATAAACAGTGAAATTTATAATAAAGTGATATTATAAATTTATGATATAGATAGAATTCAGATACTATTCCATTTTCATCAAATAATTATTTTGATTTAGAGATACTTCTCATATACACAATAAGAAATTAAGAAGAATTGTTAGAAAGGATGATTGTTATTGAAATATGATTGAAACGAGATTTAATTGAGTAGTTAATTGAGATTTAATTAATCACTTTGTATAAACTTATACACGTATAATATCATATTGAAAATGAACATTAATTGATTTCTCTATTATTACATCATATTTTACGTTATTCGTATAATAGAATTTCAATGGTTACTTTATGGTTAATTACAATCAAAATTTACTAATTGAATTTTATCTAATTATCATGTGTATTGAAACATTTAATATAGTGTGATTTTTTCTTAATTATTCAATATTAATAATATAATGTTTAACTTTATCTATGATATATCATAAATTTCAAAAGCTTAATAGAGAAAAAGAAATTTAAATTACAAACATATTTATTCATTAAAAAAAAGAAAGATCGCCTTCTATATGAAACTGTTCTATATCTTTTACACAAAATACCATTAAATAACATAATTGAATTTGATTAATATAATATAGAACCGTTATAATTAAACTATAGTTATAGCAGTGTAACTATAGCTTAAGTTATATGGCGACAAGTCAGGTAAGTAGAATAAACCAGTCACAGTTAAACAAGTAAAATAGTATGGTCATTCTCGGACAACTACAATCAAACAATTGAGGTCAAACGAGTAGAACGAGTTACGTAATTGTCAGACTAGTAATGTAGAACTGTTAAAGTCAGCCTACTTATATATATTGATCTATACATCGATATAAATCCACCGAATGAATCAATTTATCGTTAAACAAAGGGAATAACATGATCTATCGATTATAGATTCAAAAAAGAGTAGAATAGAACACATATTGTAACCTCCTAAATTACTAAATTGACAACCCATCAAATCCAACTAATTCCACTAATAGCAATGAACTTTTCATTCGTGGCTATTATCATTATCTTGGCGCAAAGGTTAGAGAATAAATTAAGGATCGAAACCGAGGGCAAACACGAGGGGCATATCTGTCCATCCGTTTCCGGAAACGGCACACAACAATAACGATCGTAAACAACAAAGCTACCGGATGTAAAACAACCTACCTTTCTCACAATAGGCACCCTCATAATCGCCGGACCGACACTCGCAGATGGGTCCACTGTCGGTTGATATGCAGATTCCGCCGTGTTGACAGGGATCACGCGTTTCACAGGCGTCCGTCGTATTGGCTGTCATCATGTTGCGTAAACTCTGCGACAAACAATGGAAAGTAACGTTTACGTATCTGTGGACATCAAAGCGAATCATCTCGATACAGAGGAAACCGATATCAAGAGTCTCTCTTTTCTGAAAATATGTGTATATACGAAAGAATAGAGGATCATTTTTAAGTAGAATTGTATATTCTTGATTTTTTTCTTCTTTTATTTGAACAATTTGAACAATATTTTAATCCCGAGAAATATATTAAAAGATATATTGCGAGTAACCAAAGCATATTGTTTTTTACTTTAAATTATAAATTTGTGATTCTTAAAAAAGTGAATAAAATCGAAAATCGTAATTCTTTTTTTTTTGGAAGTATATAAATTTAATGTTTCGTTGAAATAAACTTTCTATTTGTCAAATAATCTTTATATTGGATAAATTATCTTTTCTACAATATGTAAACATAAAAATAATTTAATTATCCAATTAACTTGTTATAATAATATGATACACATAATATAATGTTCTTAAATTTATAACAAATATATTCTACAATTCAATTCATTCCACAATCTGAATAGAAACGAGTTAAAATATCAACGAGTAAATTTTTCCAATTAATATCTTCAATTATTAATTTCTCTATTCTTTTTAATTTCAATGAATCTATCCTGTTCTCGATCAAAGCAAAATCTTTCGAATACTTTTCTCGATAAAATATATATTTTCAGAACGAGCAAAATCTTACAGTCTATAAATTCTAGAAATTCCCTATTTTTATATATATATATATATACGTAGAAGTTCGATATTGTATCTTTGTTCAGGAAATCGTCTCTTACACTAAGTCACCGTGTATCAAATTGTCGCAATAATACGAGAACGGTGTCTCGCTTCGATCGGAATCGATACGGTTTCGAGAAAATCCTTTTCCATCTTTCGTCGTCCGAAAATGGCCACGTGCCAGCAACGAAACGATCGACGGATTCACCGGAACGTAATGGACTAGACCAACGCGGTTGACCCCATAACCTAATACGTGCACTCGTGTTCGCGAAAGTTCGCCTTCCGGTTTTTAAGAACCACTTCAGAAAGAAATCGTGAGTATCTATACTCTATCTCGTGATTTATAAATAACATATTCAAAGATACTTATTTAAAGATTCGTGATCACGTTTTCAGAGAATAGAAATTTGAAATACATAAAAATTACTTGCATTTTCGAATATTTAATGAACAAAATTTACATTAATATTTTTGCAATATAATTAGTTGTTACAAACTTGTTTCAAAATTTATAATATTCGATACGTGAATTCTTATTGATTGGACGAAATATCATTGATAGAAGAATTAGGAATTGGATTTTTCAATCTTCGACAAATGGGATTTACATCAAAACCAGTCAGATCTTTAGATAGTTCTAGAAAGAGCTAATATACATAAATTAATTAATTACCATTCTTTCTTTTCAATTTCTTTTTATAATCAGAAAATTATACGTGTTTTCAACAATTTGAGAATGATACACTTTTATTATCATATTTGTATCATCATGGCTCGTTTTAACCATCGCGCGTTCGCAAGATTATTAAGGGATGAAAGGAGCGAAACGTGTAAACGAAAAGGGAAATTGGTATAAAGTGGAAGATGCGAACATCGTAATACTGACCATAGTGGCATCCGGACTAATTAAAGCGCGTTTCGTTTACACTCATAAGGTGCTTGTATCCATGCCACTTGTACATTTCCGCTTTTTATTCGCTGGAAATTGCACGAACGCGTAGTGGTTCGCGCTTAAGAAGGCTCGAGAAACGAGAAAATACGTCTGCTTGTAAGGAATTTTCTTAATTTTCCAATTGTACCAATTCAAATATATGATAATCGTTTGATTTATGCTTTTTATTAATTTAGGTATTAATTTACATACTTGTACATTAATAATGATATATTATTCGTATAACAATATTATGTTAGATCGTATTCAAAATTTTAATTCGATTCTAAATATCTATTTATCTCTGCGCCATTCACTGATATAACAATGAAATAAAAAGAAATACTAAAATAAAATTATTACAACATTTAGACAACGATAATCTATAATAATAGAAAGTGATAATAAAGAAAATAATTGAAAAATAAGAAAAACTTGAAAAATCAATAATTAAAATCGCAAACATAAGGAGGATAAAATCGGTGTATAAATAATTTTAAAATAATTGAAAATTTCGTTAAGCGACGATAATATCTCGCGAATAATATTATTTCCACAGCAGAACAGTGAAAATCGTGAATTGGAGTGAAGATATCGGGGGATGGATGGGTCATTTTACGCTTTCGACCTCTGCAGTACTCGTTGCAGTTGTCGGGGTAAATAAGTTGGCCGCCAGATTTCGTCGTAGTTTATTAATTCAATTATACTTTTCCCAGGGCGCTCTGTTACCGGATCACGTACAGCCACTTGTATCAGCTGACGGTGTAACCGTGTTTTCAAGACTATTGCGGATTCAGGGCGCGGGCCAGAGTCGTGAGACGAGAAACGATACGGGGGCACAAAATCAAATTTCAGTTCCCGGTCTGTAATAGCTGTTGCAGCACTCGTAATCGTCTCCGGTTACAATTGACTTTTCCACGTTTTGAGGATATGGTGTTATTCCTCTTAACGGGACAAATTTCGTTTGGTACGATATGCGATTGTCTCTCTCTATTCTTTCTTCATCTTTCAATTTTTTCCTTTTTTCTTTTTTGTTTTAAATTTTTTAATCTTTCGTTTGTATCCTTTTCAAGGAGTTTTCTTTTAGTTTTCTTTGAACTTTCGATCGAATATTTATTAGTTCTTTTTATATTTCTTATCTATAATTAATTATTTTTGAAAAATCTTTAACGAAACTTATGATTCACTTCTTATTTTTTTTTAGAATTATATCTACATTACAAATATAATTAAAATATAATTCAAATATATCATTTACGAAATATGGAAAATCTTTTATAACGGAGGAATTTTTGATTCCAAATCGTTTACTTTATAACGCGTTCTTCAATAAGGATTTTTACGCGATCAAATGCGGCAAATACTTTGCTACTTTAACGAGATAAACGTGCTCGATGCACCAGGAGACATACTTATGTAACTATGCGGCACATACTTTGCGAAAGCGATGCACTTTCCGCCCTGTTGGAATTTCTTGATGCGTAATCGAGTAACCGTAATTCCCCGCATAACTTTCGCGTGCTCGTTAATAATTGCGAGAGGTTCACGCGTCTGAAATTTAACTATATATACAGTAATTTGTCAATGACGTGATAATAATGAGGAATGATATGAAATGATAATTCAAACGAATAAATAACTCGATTCAATGTTGGAAGATGTTGGTATATTCAAATAAAAATTTCTGAATGGATGAGTTATCTTTTTTAAAATACAATCTCTGGATAAAAAATTAGGATCATTTGCAATTTTCAATTTTTTTTTATTATAATATTTATTCAACAATATTCTTTGATTAATTATTTTGATTTACCACTATATATGCATTATTTATATTATATTCTTTATTTTTAAACTATTTTACCAAATATCCAGAACTAGTCAACTAATGATGATGAATAATTTAAACACAGTCTAGATTGAACAAGTGAAAAGAAAAATAATTAATGCATGTATTATTAATAATTAATAATTAAAATTATTCGCGAAATAATAATAAATTAAATATATAATTAAAACATATTGATTACTCAACTCATCGATTTCCAAAAGAAGAAAAAGATCAAAGAAACAAATTACTATAAATTCCATATTAATACAATTTACTCTACTTCTAAAGTACAGTTACAACAAATTGAATCTGCGAAACCTGTTCCTTACGTTTACATTTATTCTTCGCCAATAAAAAAAAAACTGTCCCATTTTCACAACCATATTGTCGTAATCGTAACCATTTTTCATTTCAGCTCGAGAGAAAAGAGAAAAAAAAAAAAGGAAAGAAAACCATCCTCGCCAGAAGATAAGTATAAACATATTTCACCGGGAGGAATGATTTCATCGTAGCAAAATCGTTGCACAACGTTATTCACTTTTCACATTCGGATGTACGGGCTTTTATTTCCACACAGTAATTTCCTTACCGATCCGCGGGGAAACATTAGCCATTGGCGCGGTATCGGGTTCCGGCCTCGTATTCGGGGCACGAGGCGAGAGCCAGGAAACGTAAGAAA